GGTACATGAATTCCTTAAAGAAGGGGATTGTTGACTCATTCTACCGGCTGAGGCCAACAACCAGTGGCTTAGCTTCAGTTGACCGAGCTGCTACACATTTTGACCATCATTGCGGGACCCTCAGGTATATTAAGAAATCAAGGTCCTCTCACGCGAGTTTGAGAGCACATTTCTTGGATCTGAGAGTCCCAAACCTATCTCCATTTGCCCTTCTTACACCAAGTTTAGTTTGTGGTTCTGAGAGGAAGGAGGCAGGCGGGATTGCAACTCGTAGGACCGCATCAAGACTCTGTCGGGAGTCCGTCCACCGATTGCGGGAGCTCTGTGGAAACCTAGGCGAGGTTTTGGAGGCAGGGAACTGACAGGTATATTTCCTTCTGCTTGGATGAACCCCCAATACCCCTGTTTGATTATATCCCTCTAGTTTTGATTGTTGTATGCATGTGTTCCCCTATGACTTTTGCTTTCTTTACGGGATCTAATCAGACTGAATGGAAGGAATATGTATGAAAAACTTAAGTTTCTTCTTATTTTGACTGAAAGTAAACTAAGGGATGAACTGGGGGAAGGTGGGAGGAAGGCAGTTTGCATGCGTTTGACCGGGTCAATCAAGGACTGACATTTCTAAGCTAAATGGTCCAGAGCTATGTTTATTTGGTTGTTTTCTGAAGGGTCGGGCATTGTTTCTAAGTTGAATGACCTGGTTGTTGTGTTTATTTCTGAGGGATTGTCTGGCTGATCTTTGAGACCACGCATTGTTTCTAAGCTGAATGACTTGGTCTCTCTGTTTCTTTTGGGGTTTCTGATTGAAGTAGGCCTGAGGGATCCAACTTCATGCTTTGAATGATTTGAGGATAGGTTGAACATTGTTTCTATGTTGAATGGTTCAGCTTCTTGTTTTATTTAGGGAGGATTTTTTGTCTAAGGCTAAGCATTGTTTCTAAGCTGAATGGTTTAGCCTAAAGTTATGCACATAAGTATAAATTGAGTATAACATAAAATACTTTATTTATATTTGCATGTCAACTAGCAATTGGACATTGTTTCTAAGCTGAATGGTTCAACGCTAAGCCATATCACTAAAAAGATAAGGGAAACTATAAAATATAATTCGAAGTAATCTGGCAAGCTGACCATTGTTTCCAAGACGAATGACTCAGTCCCCTCCCCATATTTTCATTTTTTTTTTTAAACAAAATTAGAAATTATGAAACTTTGGATATTGGGGGCGACTATACATTGTTTCTAAGCATAATGGTCTAGTCATATGCCCAAAGAAGAGAAAAGTAGTTGTGCAACATGTTCATGTATATCCTAAGGCATGCTAGACATTGTTTCTAAGTTGAATGGTCTAGCACCATGCCATATGTACGTTGGGTATAAGGGATAAATCATCTGAGGGTTCCATGAACTAATCTATGAGGATTTGACTTGGGGACAGGTAAGAGTACTTACCAATGTGGTTTGTTCTTGCATGTGACTGAGTGAGATCACTACTTACTCTGAGTTTCAGTTTGACAGGTAGTTGCTTTAGTTGCTCGCCACTTGCTAGAGTCATAGGAGTTACTTCAATTCCTGCATTTTCTGAGCTAAGTGTTTTTTTACTTCGGTCAATTCTCGTATTTTCTGGGATCTTTTGTTATACTTGGTCTTGTATAAATCTTGGTAAGCTACTTTCTCTACGGAAAGCGCTACCGAAATTTTTACAAAACCAAGATGTTAGTCAAAATTGATATTTCAAAGTTCAAACTTGTCTAAGTTATGTATAATGCTTAGTAAAAATCTGGAAAGTTTGTTTTTTTAAGGGAGTGCTGCCCAAATTTTTGCTAATTCAGGGAGTTAGACAAAATTTGAACCTTGAGTAGTCAAAGTTATTTTATATTTTTGAATTTAGCTTTGTATAAATTTTGGAAAATTATTTTTTCTAAGGGAAACGTTACCGAAAGTTTGACAAATCTAAGAAGTTGGTTAAATTTTGTATTAGTTGAACTCAAGTCTTAGGTTAAATTTTGTATTAGCTGAACTCAAGTCTTACTTTGAGTTCTTACCTGACTTAGTATATATGAGAAGTCTACTTATCTAAAGGAGATGCGACCCAAATTTTTACTAATTAAGGGAGTTGGACAAAATTTGACTTTTTAGAGTTAAAGATTATTTCAGCTTTTGTAAGCGAGCTAATATAAATTATGAAAAGACAATTTTCCTATGGGAAGCGCTGCCGAAATTCTTTTAGTATTAAAGGAGTTCGACTATATTTTGACAGGTGACGATTCTGGCGATTTATCCTTAATAGGCGAGATTCCCTAAAAAATCTTTCATCAGTCCGACGACGAGTCGCGTTTGGGACTTCAGCTCCCTAGTGCGTCGGTTCACGTGCGAGTCCGATAGAGGTGTGGGATCACGCGTACCCGCTATACTACAACGTACGAGAAACGTCATTGGTTGGTCCACCTCTACGATTGCAACTGATTAGCTTTCGTGTTGTGGACTAGTAACTCGGCAGAGATACGCCCATCGAAGGGAGGTGACAACTCTCGCAAGTGGAGGTGAAGTTGTACCTCGTGTTGACCCTATCTTGTCGTAGGGACTCGCGAGAGGTATGGTTGGCGCACTCGGCTGGAGCGGCTTGTGGAACTTCCATTTGTATCGCAATTACGACCAACTCTTGGGTGACACGGTCGGGAGGGTCCCTCTCTGCGTGGGACCGATACGCTCGACACTGGCCCGTGGCAATTAAGAATTTGAGTATTTCACTCGTCTGCTTCCAGTGGAGTTTGAAATAGGGTCTGTATTTCAACAGTTCAGGGGTTTACCAATTGATATAGGTCAATTGGTTCCCATGTTCTAATGTTGACATTCAACCCCTCCCCCCCC